TGCCGGTCAAGACAACAGTGCTTCTGTCATACCATTTCCACCTCTTCTACCAATTTATTGCCTGTCTTCAGTTTAGTGAGATGCAGAAAAGACCAGGGAATATGAGGCAGTGTGTCTTTGAACAGAAACTAACATTCATCCAGAACAGAAGGCAGCACTCAAGAGTGAGGGCCCACAGCAAATGTTATTGATAGGTTGCTTTTTTCAAACCTTGAATGATACTAAAGGAAGCCCTTCATGAATGTAGCTCAGGAGTTACTACACAATCAATGTAACTACCTCTTGGGAAATGAGAGAGATAAGAAAATACTACATAAGCCTTTTTGAGCTGCAGAATATGATTGGGTCCTCTATGTGATTTAGTAATCTGCTGGATTGCTGTATTCACAATGCAATCCTATACAGTTACACCATTCTGATTCCGTTGAAGTCGACGGATTTAGGAGGGTGTAATTCTGTTTTGGATTACTGTCATTCCAAAGGACAGGTGACTTAATTCTGATGTAATAGCCAGATAACAGAGTTTCACTAGTCTTACTGTTTGTACCAGAGAAAAGAGAACAACTGAATGTCAGTAGCTAAATTTAATTAGCCCAGGCATCCTTGAGAGCCGCATTTGCAAAGTATGGTTTGTATGAGCTAATATTGGGCTAGTCACATACCCTTAGCCTAACCTACCTCACAGGGTTGTTGTAAGCCAGTTTGGTGTAGTGGTTAAGTGCACGGACTCTAATCTGGGAGAACCAGGTTTGTTTCCCCACTCCTCCACTTGCAGCTGTCGGATGACCTTGGGCAAGCCATAGTTCTGTCAGAGCTGTTCTCTCAAGGACAGTTCTCTCAGAGCTCTCTCAGCCCCACCTACCTCACAGGGTGTCTGTTATGGGGTGGGGAAGGGAAAGGAGTTTGTAAGCTGCTCTGAGACTCCAAGTGGAGGGTGGGGTATAAATCTGATCTCTTCTTCTTCTTCTTCTTCTAAGGATAAAATGGAGAAAAGGACAGCAATGTAAGCTGCTTGGGAACACACACCCCCTTGGAGAGAAAGGCAGGGTATAAATGAAATAAATAATTTTGTTAGAGTGATCACATAAAACAGCCTCGATTATACAAGAATAATTCAGAGCATAGACTGAGAAAATGATGAGAAGGGTGTTCAATGGAGATTTGGAAGAAGGACCACCAGAGGTCAGCAAGTCCACATTTGAAGTAGACTAAGGAATCCACAGAAGGAATTGCCTGAGAGTTTTTGGATGTGCCCCACTAGAGGAATGCATCCCATTTTGGGAACTACAAGAGGCACTGTGTTATGGCAGTCAGGAGTCTTCCAAAACCTCAGTGCCAGATTGGACAGATGGCATGTTGAATGACACACAATACTAAGCTGCTTAGGAAGATTAATATAATTGTCAACTTAGATGTGCAGGGCAAAGTTTAGTACAGATTGCAGAGGGTTTGTTGATAGCATGTTTGGTCTACTTCTTGAATACTTCTTTATTTTGCTGTGCAGCAATGTGCCAAGTAAGTTTTACAATGCCATGATACAAAATGCCCCAAGGATCAAATGGATGAAATGAAACAGGATCAGACAACTCTGTGAGCACTTTCAGAAGCTCAAACAAGTGTTGCCATTCTCTTCCACAGTAAGCTGGTGTGACTTGTAAAATCTGACAAAGGATGTTGCATAAGAAATTTGTGCTGTCTGTGGTCACACCTGCAGCCTATGCAGCTTCCCTACTCAAGATCCTTTTTTAAAACTTTACAAGCAAATGCTGCCAGCTGAATGCAGAAGTGTTTGCGCAGGTAGCTGGTGGCACCTGTCTGTAACATCTGAAGCTCTTCTCTATCTGATCTTTTGCTGTTGCTGCACCAACGTGGCAATAAGTGGTGTTGTAGAGGTGTTGTAGAGGTGAATGTGCAGGTTTCAGCACAGGGATCATTCCAGTGACCTCGATGGTCCAGGGAGTGTGGCTTGGTTATGCACTACTGTGCTGCAGGAATACAGTAACCTGCCGTGTTTTTTATGGATCAGTTGCACATTGACTTATAACCAGCATATGATCAGCCTAAGATTTGTACCAATGTGGCATATCCTAAAATGCCTATGAGACACAAACCCAAAGAATAACTGTAGGTTCTGCTGATGCAGGCATTTCTCATCCTGTAAATGGTTATGACGAGCCATTTGGACTAAAAGTGCATCTTAGATGATAGGAATAAAATGGACATTTTAAAATGAAGGCTTATCTGCAGGCAAATCTTCCAAAAATGGAGATGCCTTTAAAAAATACTTCGCAGAAACTATTAGAGCTGCTGTTCTGCAGTTGCATTAATTCTGTGGTTCTATAATGGCCTTACATCTGCAATACATAATGTTTGCGTTCTTACATATTCCAAGGGTTTTTCGATGATAAAATCTAAAATCTTTCTGTGGCGTCAGTGGATTGCACAATGACATTCAAGTTTTTGTATGATATTTTTCTCTCCCTCTCTCCCACAGTTGATTGGAATGCTGCTGGCATGCTGTCTGTCCCGATTTATTACTGCCAATCAGTATGAGATGGTGTAACAAGGTGGGTCTGTATACTGCTGTGTGTGCAGGAGGTTGTTCTCCCCAAGCTGACTCTGGTGCCTGGCCTCCTTACTTCCAGCAGCCGTTACGGGCTTAATAGACGTCTGCATATACTTAGTGGATGGCCCTTGCAGCCGGAATGAAAATGCTTAGTAGAGATTAAAATGCAGAAGTTAGATTGGTCCCTCTGTGAAAAAGGTGTTCACTGTTGATTGGCGTTATTGGAGCATGTGAATTTATGAATCTGCCTTAATGTAAGTCTAGCCCAGTATTGTCTGTCTGTCAGCAGCTCTCCAAGATCTCAGAGATATTTCTCAGCCCTGATACTGAAATTGTCTGCAGGCAGAGCATTGTCTGCAGGCAGAGCATTGTCTGCGGGCTCCTCACTGGTGTAGTTGGCTGCTGTGCCCTTCCTTGCTGGCCCCAAAGGGTCCAGATTGGCAAGGAGAAGCTGGACCCCCCCCCCCAGCCTCCCTCAGCCTGGGCTGTAGCTGCAGTGTTCTCCTTACCTGCCTAGCCAGTCCAGCAAGGATACTGTGGACAAACCAGGCATTGAAGCCACCCTTTGCCTGGTGGTGGCAGCTCGTGCTTGGCTGGCCTCATCCCCTGTGGGGCCAGGCACTGCAGCCTCCCTTTGTCCAGTGGTGACTCATGCTCAGCCAGCTGGCTTTCTCACCCATGGGGGGGGGCACTCAGGACAGGAGAGGCAGCCACTGAGGCCAGCAGCCAACCAGCTCTTCCCCCAGCAGCCACAATGGCCTGTCTGCCCCTGCAAGTCTTTTTCTGTCCTATAAACAGAACACTAAATACGAAGAGCACTAGAAATTAAGCTGTTATCTAAGCAGCACAGAGAAAAGTCCTATAAAGTACAAAAATTAAAACAATAAATAGAGAGCCTAAAGCAGACCTTTTGTGATATTTTCTTTGGTCTTCCATGGGCTGTATGAACTACAGTTGTTAAGCCTGGCGTGGCAACCAGCGGGAGGGCAGCCATTGGCAATAGCAGGATGTAACTTCCCAGAAACCTTTCTGAAATACCACCTCTCTGGAATCTCTGGCAATTCTGTCGTAAAATCATAGATTCCTAGAGAGGACTGATATCACTTCTAGGATTTCCGTGGAAACAAGGCAGGAGTGGGGAATGCCCTACCCCCACTGGGGAACAGGCAACCATAGTATGAGCTATTCTGTAGCAGTCAGCGGCTACCTATACCTCTCCTGTTGGACACCCCAGTTCCAGTCCTCTTCATTGCAGATATAGGCTAAATGTGCTTCCAGTTTTTGTCCAGATTGCTTGAAAGGAATGGGGTAGGGGAAACTGCAAGAGGCTGAAGGCCTGGGTCTGAGTCAGTTAACCAAATCCATTCATATCTCCTCTGCTCCATCATTCCATCTTGGTGAGCTAGGGTTGCCAACTTCCGGGTGGGACCTTTTGTTCTCCCAGAATTTACAACTGATTTCCAGAGATCAGTTTCCCTGGTGAAAATGCTGGCTTTGGAAGGTGGACTCTATGGCCTAACGTTCCACCAAGGTCCTTCCTTTCCCCAAACTTTGCTGTTCTCAGGCTCCACCTTCAAATCTCCAGGAATTTCCCAACCTGGAGTTGACAACTGTATTACTGATTGCACTGGGCTATTTGCCTCAGGAATGAGAGGGGCCATGGGAAGGGGGCAGGAGCAGAAAAATGAATTCCCAGTTTCATTCAGTCTGGCATATGGTTTTAATCATTCATTACAAATCATCTTCCTGTAGTCGGTTATGTAAAGGAATGTATGCCTCACAGCATATACAGAATGTATTTAACTCACAAATGAATAACTGCTGTGAAGTTCTTGTCCTCACACCCCCAACACTGAGGACTAAAGTTGTGTTATGATCTGACAGGTGTAAACTCTGGAACTTCTTGCTACAGGTAAAAAAAAAAATCTTCACTGCGCATGCAGTCTTCATCCCCACCACCTCTCACTACAGAAAAGTAAGGTTTTAGGGAAGGTCGAATATATTCAAGCCAAGAATAATCCCTTCTCTGAATGCTGAGATGTAAAGACTTTGCATATTGTAGAGTTCTTTCCTCTTACCACACAGTAACTACATATCTCTACCTACCTGGCATTAGGAGATTATCCCTAGGTGTTTGTGGGTGATGGGGCATTGCAAGGAAGTTGTAATTTAGAAATCACCTCTTTTAGTAGTTAAGCAGTGATTGCCATCTCCCCTACACACACTATTCCCATCATAATTCTGAATCCTACTCCACAATCTTACGCTTTGCAATATCTCTTGAGAGAAGAATATAATTCTATCTACACAATGTATTTCATGTTGTTTTTATTTTTTTAAGTTTGGTAGATAGACCATCTCTTCAAAGCTGCATGACTTTTACTATGCACAATGAAGGACTATATATAAAGTAAATAATAAGTAAATTTAAAAATAGCAGTGTGTGGAAGTGCTGTTATTTATACTGCTATTCAATGTGACATCAGCAAGTCCTACCCCATCACATCACCAATGAGTCTCAGGGTTGAGGTTGATGTGGGCCAGGGAACCAACCCTGGTCTTCTTTGTGAAGAGGGGCTTCCTATCACTTTCATTATCATTAGCAATTATAGGCACATAACGGGGATGTGTCTGCAGAGCTGTAATGCCAAAATGAATGCAAAATTAAACTGGAGTCTATGGAACATTGAATATTAACAAATGTTTCTAGAATAAGTTTTGATGGACTAGAGCCCACTTCCTTAGATGCATGTAGTGGGTCCGCCCTATGCAGGCAGGCGTATGTGAAATTACTTTTTCTTTTTAAGTCGTAAATGATACAGTACAAGGGCCATGCTGGAAGTAAACAATGAGATGTACCTATATAAATAAAAGTATTATCAGGAAGAGACCATTCACAATAGCATATTCTCAGAGGGCAGCCATATTGATTTTTATAGAAGAGGTAGTAGCACTTTAAAGACCAACAAGATTTTCAGGGTATAAGCTTTCAAGAGTCAAATCTCCGTTTGTCAGATACTTTGACTCTTTTGAGACTTTTGCCTCTTGAAAGTTTAGACCCTGGAAGTGTTGTTGGTCTTTAAAGTATTACTGTACTAGAATCTAGCTAATTCACAATAGCAGCAATTGGTGGTAGTGCAGTTTTTCATAACTGCATAGGTATATATGACTACTACTGAAGACCAGCTATGTGCATCTGACAAGCTGGGCTCTGGACCATGAAAGCATATGTTATAACAAGTGTCACTTAGGCTAGAACAAGTATGTATTTAAAGGTGCCTCAAAATTATTTTGCTGCAACAGACCAATATGGCTACCCTTTTGAGATGAATGGAGAAGCTCCCATTCTTGTGTCCAACATGCCAAAAACCCCACGAGCTAGATATTGATATCTTGGTTGTTCCTGTTTCAAAAGTAAAGAATCACTAATTGAACAAGAGTATTCTTCATATTGGTAGTAACCAAACCAATCAATCCCTCCTTCCTCTTCCTCCTTCCTATGTTTCTCTTATTTTTTTCCAGGGGGTGTGAAATGCAGCACCTGTTTTCAATCAGGAATTGGGATAAATAATTCATGGAAGACTTCTAAAGAATGTTAGAGCACATACACACACAACACACACACACTACCACTAACCACCACCTTCTAAACTCTGTACCATGCGTAGTGTACCATTCCGTGAAGTACTGTCGTGCCCAGAAGTAGCCTGAACCATTCAGCATCCAGTACTGTACACTCCACCTTGAAGGCTCTTGCATATGATGGCACTATGTGTATGTTCTTGGTCAGATTGTAGTTGCATTGTAAAGTTAACAGAGGTAATTCATTAACAGCGATGATTGGACTGTGCATGTAGTGACTGGAGGGCATCATTAGCCTTTCGCCATGATTAATAAATGTCTCACACATCCATATTAAAACCTGTATACAGATATATATATATATATATATAATTTTGGTTATCAGACTTTTAATTTGTTCTTGTTGTTTTATTGCTTTACCAGGTTTTTTTCCAATCTTACCTAGCTTCCCCCTCCCCAAAACCACTATCCCCAAACAAGAAGAAATGTAACATAATGTGAAGATACTTGAAAACAAAAAATTAATGTCAAAAATATCCTACAGGAGAATTTGTTCTTTTAATGTTCTTTTGCATCTTTGATTCTTAATCAATGTTGTATGCCTTGTGTGTTTGCCAGTAGGCCTTTGTTTAGTGCATTTTTGCCTCTGAATTGGAACCTGTGTCATATTATTACTAAGCTACGTTATTTGCTTACTGTGAAGGCGGTGATTTTGCTTCCCTTTTATAAAATAACTATGGACTAATTAAATTGTACTGTAATGCAATCTTCCCATTTTTTTCTTTCATTCTCCTTTTGCATTGAAGTTGCCACAAAAATACATTGTCAGATCAATCAAAATTTTAAAGGGCATATGGAATATTTTTGGGGGTGGGGAACAAAAGTTTAAGACCTTTTTAAAAAAATAGGAATTTTTTAATAAGGCCTCTGTCTAGCATGCCAACAAGAATGCATTGAATATTGTGAGTATTTGTGATATACATATTAATAAATGGAAATATTATGGATTTCTACCGGCTTCTGCTTTATTTTTCAGCATTAACACAGAGTTTTTTTTAGTAGCAACTTACTAAAGTCTGCATCTTTAAGGATTTTTCCTCCTGATCTCAATAGAGAATAATCTGAATGAGTTTATATCAAGGCCTGGAGATGTTCATGTAATGCACCTATGACTGCAAATCAGAAAAGAGAAACAGCCTGGATTGAGACCTCAGTGTTCCCCATCATCCTGCTTCTGTGCTACTTCCACATGGGAAAGCAGAAACATACCCCCACTGCTGCAGCAGCCGTGAGCAGTGTGAACATAGGCATGGATACTGTCTATACACCCTGTTCCCACTGTGCTATTTGCTGCTGATGCAGTGACAATAGTTCCACTCCCCACCAGCAGCCTCCTCCTCAGCAGAACCATGCTGGAAATCTGTACTGCAACTCAGCTGTGAAGACAAACCTGTTAAAGAACTGGGTGGGGGGAAGAATTGCAGACCTTAGCTCCACCCCCTCCCTAGATGAGCTATGGGCAGAACATCCACATGCAGTTTCTGTCCACAGGTGTCCATGATGAGCTGGATTTAAGGAGGTTTTTCTTTGATCCCGCTGTGATGAACTGACCTCCAAAACCAGGATGCTTAGTGCATCATATTCAGAGAGCGGGGAGATTAGGGGTTAATGCCTCACTGTGAAGTGGTTTGATTGACAGGCTGCTGCCTGCATGCACCCCCTTCTCTCTGATTGGTCAGCGTCAGCTGAGGAGAGTTTTTAAAAGTTTTATCAGAGGGAGTCAGTCATTGGACTTTGGCTTGGCAGTCACTAGGTAGGAGGAGTGTGTGTGTCGTTCTGAGGGAAACAGACAAGTCACTTGAGAAGTGAAGGAACACAACTCCTTGCCCTTAATGTGTACCAACACATTTGAGGAAAAGTTTAAAATTCAGAATTTAGAAGTCTAAGTGTCAGCCCTAGCTAAATTCCATTTAATCACAGTATCCAGAACTGGGGTTTAGGTTTGACAGAAGAGGCCGGACAGTAAGTTGAAAACTGCCAGCCAAACAGAAAAGGATTATTGCTTCTAGAAAGAGGAGGAGATTTCTTACCAAGTTATTCAGAGGATTCAACTCAGAAGGGGGTTTGTGTGAAGGGAAACAGTCTTAGACTCCTCAGGAGTAAAAAAGGGACTGCTATTTTCCCCATGAAAGATATTTGAAGATTTCCCCATTTTGTTAAATCATTTGTTATATCTTTTAAGAGCTTGACGTAGTTATCCTCGATTAACGTGTTATTTCTTTTGGATATTGTTATTCCCAAGTATTTAACTTTGGTGACAATCTTCATTTGAGATATTTTTTCTATCTGTTCTGTTTGTTGAATTGTACAGTTTTTTGTTAAGATATTTGTCTTATTATAGTTTATTTTTAATCCTGCCACTTCTCCGTAATTTTCAATTACTTCCAATAACTCTGGTATAGAGTCAACTGGATCTTCAACCACAAATACCAAATCATCTGCAAATGCCTGCAACTTATACGTTTCTTTCTGTATCTTGAGACCCGTTATTCTGTCGTTGTTTCTTATTAGGTCTGTTAGTGTTTCCAGCATAAAGATGAATAGTAGCGGAGACAGTGGACATCCTTGTCTCGTACCTTTTTGAATTTGGATCTTTTCTGTCGTGTCTCCATTTACTATCACTTTAGCAGTTTGCTTTGAATATATCGCTCTTATCATTGTATAGAAACTTTCTCCACAGTCCCAGTTTGCTAGCTTCTGAAGCATAAAATCCCAAGATACTCTGTCAAAGGCCTTTTCCGCATCTAAGAAGATTAACGCCAACTGGTCGCTTGGATGTAATTCATAAAATTCCAATACATTTATAAGTGTTCTTAGGTTTCTTTTCATTTGTCTATTAGGCAGAAATCCAGTCTGATCTTCATGTATTATTTCCGCCAAAACCTTTTTTAATCTTGCAGCTATTATAGATGCGTAGATTTTATAGTCCACATTGAGCAGTGATATAGGCCTATAATTCTTTATGTCTTTTGCATCAGTGTTTGGTTTGTGGATTAGCGTGATCAGGGCTTCATCCCATGACTGTGGCATTCTTCCCCCCTGCGCTATTTCCGATATTACTTCTTGGAAAGGCTTGACTATTTGTTCTTCAAATTTCTGATATATTTCCGTTGGAATGTTATCTGGACCGGGAGTCTTAT